GTTACATGTCCTGCACTTGGGGATGATCAAGGACAGATCCTGCCCCTCTTCCGCATGACAGCCTTGTATTTGAAATGTCCTTCGCTGGCCATCATGCGGTCACTCCTCTAAAGGGCAGTTCAGGAAAAGTCCATGTCTTGGGGTTGTGCTGAACAGACTTTAAGTTCCTACTGCTCACAAGGCCTTGTGAGGAGGTATTGAACAGCTTGTGCGTCTTCCCCCCTCCCTGTACTCTGGATTTTCTGTGGTGAAAGGAAAGAAGAGAAGAAATGGGGAAAGCACAAAAGGGTTCCGGATGGAAGAGAAACTGAAGCCGTCCTGAACCTTGTCCAAAAGCACCCACATTTATTTATGGGGTTTATTAATTTATTTACAGTCCTTAGACCAGTCACATAAGTATAAAACCTTATAATTTCTAGCTTTCAGTATTCCATTACAACACGTTGGCATACATACGGCTGGGAGCTACTATCTAATTGGTTTTTAACTTCCGCAATCGAAGTATTGCTACACAGAATTTCGCAACTTGACAGGTGACTTCATATCAACATCCGAGAGAAGGAACTCGAGCCTATTTCCCTCTGAACGTCCTGGAATCCTTATCTACTAAGGGGAGGGGGATTATATCTTTTTTGTACTCCTTCATACAATGGGCAGGTGAAGAACAAATGCTGTATGGTCTCGATCTCCCTCAGGTGTCAGGAGCGTAACCTTTCAGCAAAAGGAGTAATTTTATACGTCCCTTCTAGTACAGCAGAGGGGAGGGCCAAACACCTCGCCAAAGTAAAGGCTCTTCTAGTTCCTTGATAGGATTTATATCCCACCCATTTATAAACAAAGCACTACGCTGGGAAATTTACAGAAGAACATAGGAGACAACGCTGAGCACAAAATAATGCACACGACAAAAATAACAGAATAGCATACTGTATAACAAACCCTCCTGCCCCCAAATTTGGAAACATTAGTGTGTGCTCTATCGTACATTAACAGCAATTGCAGCCAAGCATGTGCGGGTGAGAAAAAGCTCAGTGGTTTAGGAATCTGGCTGCAGACCCAGAGGCTGAGAGTTCGATTCCCCACTGCGCCTCTTTGACAAGGGCCGGACTCCGTGATCTGAATGGTTCCTTCCAGCTGTGCAGTTCTAAGATGAAGATGATTAGAAAAGCAGAGTGTCTGGAGATTTGGGAAGCGGCAGAAATAGATATACTATCGGAAGTGTTGAAAGACTGTCCAGTACAAAAGGCAACTGAACGATGGGATTTATTTTATAAGTGGCTTGAGTCAATAGATAGAGCTTGAGTAACAGAATTAAACTAAGAAATAACTGCAAGTAGGAATCTGGAAGGGCAATCAAATTGTAGAAAGTGGACTTGAGATTGTAACGCGCACAACAGGATCTGATGACAGTATATTTTATGTTCTCCTTCTCCCCCCCTGACCTTCTGTACTCCTTACCCTAGCCCCATCTTTAAAAGGAAAACATAAAAAAGAAAAGCAGAGTGTCACAGTGTATTGGATTACGAAGCTGTTGTTGTTGTTGTTGTTGTGTGTGTGTGTGTGTGTGTGTGTGTGTGTGTGTGTGTGAGAGAGAGAGAGAGAGAGAGAGAGAGAGAGAGAGAGAGAGAGAGATGCATGTTAGTGGAGATCTAATTAATTCTTGGCAGGACCGAGATTTGAACCGGGAACCTTCTGATTACAGCTCTGTCTCACAAGCCACCGCTCGACAACAGTTCTCTCCCGCTGCTCTCTCCGCGTCGTTCCCTTTAAATGGTTAAACGCACCGAGTTTCTCTTGCCTAGAGAGGAGAGAGCCGAAACACATGGCGA